ATCCATCATGTATTATTAAATACAACAGTATTATAAATAATATGTAACATTATGAGGTTATTAGTATAGCGGTTGTGGAGATTATTAGTTTTCTTAATCGAGGTCATGAACCGATTGATGTCAGACTACCATTGGAAACCTAGAAGCACTGGACGGCAGTTTCGTCTTACTGTGGGACTCCTCAACAGTGCGCATCCACGATCCCGTTTGCAGGATTCGAACCCAGGACTTTCAGTCTCGCACGCGAACGCTTAACCTACTGGACCACTGTGCCTGCATCCAATGTTGTTAGTGTCTAACATCAACAAATCCACGAAACTGCGCGACCATCTTCCATTGTTCTGAGGTAGGTACCTATCTCTACCCGACACGGATTATCTCCACTGGTTACGGCTTCTCACTGGAACTCCGAGAATTCCTTCACGAAGCTAGTCACTAGTGAGCACATGTTGATTATCACTATAGAGTTTGTGGAGATTATTAATTTTTTTGATTGAGAGGATTCTCACAGTAGGACGAAACAGCCGTCCAGTCCTTTCGGGTTTCCAACGGTGGTCTAGCATCAATCGGTTCATGATCTCAATAAAAAAATTGAGATACTTAATTTTCGTAATAACTTATCTGGAATATCAGTTAATAGCTTAGCAAAGAGTGAGGCTTAATGTTTTTTTTGATTATTTTTTCATTGTTTTACTCAACTATGTTGTTGGTTGACATCAGAAGCCAAAATGTTAATTATAGATCTCTAAATCTGGGTTATTGAAACTACCTACATTGTAATATATATTATGATTTCTGTTAAATATAAGTGTTTTCGACTGACAAATAAATAATGTAAGAATCTCAAATTCTCTTCAAGTATTACTTGATTTTAGGATAAAATTAATGAATAGATTAGCAAAGTCAGTAATAATGTTGTAGTAAATATAAACTTGATGAGGTTAATTCATTAATGTGGAATGACAGAATGTTTTGTTAAATTATGAAAACCATACATTATATACTTTGTTTGCACATCTTTCACTACTTATCCTATACATCCTTCATGATTCTTCTAATTCTCAATTCTTTTCTATTTCACTTTCTGTTTTCTTCAGTTTAATCTTCTCAAGCTTCTTTTAACAATCATATCATTTTTGATTTGTTTAACATACTACTTATATAAGTAGCAGACATAACAATATTACTGAAAACAAAAGTGAAAATTCGAATTTACTTTATTTTATGAATAAAATATTTCTTTAAATCAAATGTATTAATTTTGTTTTTCTTTGAAAATCATAAAACAAGATTATGATTTCAAGTAAATAACAATTAAAATGTCTCAATTTTAATTTTATACACTTTCAGTATTTGAACAATAAGAATACATTTTGACGTAATAAAATAGAAATGATATTTCCGGAATATTATACACTTTATTATTTCTTACCTTTTAAATAAATGAGATACACATAGAAACAAAAAAAAGAACATTTTTTGTACGAATATTTGTTTATAGAATTATACAAGGGAATATTTAATTGTTTAATGAGTAAAACGTTTACTATTTTATGATTTTCACTTTGAATTTAATTCTTTTTTCTTATATTATGAAGTAATAAGTAGAAATACATTTTATGATCTGTTGAGAATAAATTAAAAATAGTGAATAAAGAAATTTTAAAGTAATCGAATTAAATTTTTTTTCCCCGTAGCGAGTTAGTTTTCTACGGGTTGAGGTTGTTAAACCCATGTCCAAGCATCCTCTTTTATCCAGGCTTGGGACAGGGTTCCTGGAAGAGTTTAAAGTAACTGAAATGCATAGTAAAACAATTATGTTGATTACTATTTCAGTCAATCAGTCCATTATAGGAAGAGTAGAATCTGCCATATATGTGCATTGGTTTAAATTATCACTTCCTATAAGAACAATGAGATAAAATCGTCGAAGCGAATTCTACAGTATTAGTTTGGATAGGAAAAACTAACCATAGAAGGTATTATTCCGGATGAAATTGTACATTATTGAGGGAGAAAAAAATTCCATAAGGTAATTTTAAAGTTTATTAGTTAGGTGGAGATATTGAGTGAATGCATTTGCTCCAACACGAACGATTTGAGTCATACCATCAAATGTTTGTAAACATTGGTTGCGATAATCCCCTGAACCTAAACAGGAAGTCTGCAGACGATTGAAGAGTTCAGCCCAAAATTCGCTAAATTTACAAAATGATCCCACATCTTGATTTGGTTGCCACTAGCTTTCTTCGAACTTTCTCATACATCAGAAAACATCCCTCTTCAAGGTTGGCGTTAGTTGAGCATAAATGATATACTTCCCAATTGTCTCAGTCAATAAAGATTCACTACCTCATCATTTGATATGCCATCTTTATTTAGCCTCACGGTTTCTGAGTGCCAAGCATATACGAGCGGTACATTAAAAGCATATATGTTCAAATACTAGAAAACTACGAATATAGTTTATTTTTAAAGGTCATTTTTCGCAGTCATAAAACGCAGTGTAGAGAATTGCTTTACTGTATATTCGTTCTTCCGCAAACTGACAGAAGTATTTCCCACGCCACAAGTAATAAAGGATAATAAACGCCAATTGAACTGTCTGAATTCTTCTCAAGTTTTTATAAGACTTCCATGATAAGCGAAGTGGTTGAAGTACTAAACTGTTTCACTCCCTATCTAGATGGTAAAAAAACATCCGAACGCAAGTGGTCAGAAAACTACACTAGGTAAACGTCTTCATCGGACAAGACTAACTTGTCTGTGTCTTATTGAGCTATGGTTAGAATTTACTAAATATTGTGATTAGAACTCGATTTATTCCATAATTTATTAAAATTATTTTTCAGTTTTAAAAGGCTGATTGTAATCATGACTGATATTAGGTTAATTCAAACCTTGAAGTGTATATTCAAAAATCCAGAAACAATCTTTGTTGTGATGAATAGCTCCATTAATTCTTCTGTAAGTATTATTATCCACATAATTCTTATTCGCTCGTAAATTAATGTAACAAATAAGATATATAACAAATTAACTATAATAAACTATTTGAACTATACATGAAAATTCATTTTCAAGTAAGAGACTATGTGGATTTATCCCTACATAAAACATATTTGTACATATGCTAGTTTCATTTAACATGTTACGATTCAACAATCAGAATCTTTTTAACTTGAACATTTCATTTGTGTATTTGGTTTAAAGGTTTTTATCTGTATCATTTAAAAAGTCTTCAGTATTCCTATTCATCATATTGTAGATCTCTATTGTTTTAGGGTATTCTGGATACATTTTAATGAGATTTATCTTTTTAATAACTAATTAGTTATTTCTTCTTGTAATTAATATATTCTTCCATGTTTAATGATTTCGAAGGAAAATATATTAAAGATACATACCTTTTTGATGGAGAGTTGTTCTCTGTTCTCTATATGTGGAGAAATTCGAACGCTTTACTTCTATCTGAAGCTTTTGCTGATGTTGTTCAGAAGAATGATGAAAGCTTCACGACTAAACCATTCATCTCAGAGAACAAAACTCCATCAAATCATCCACCTCAGTTACATATCTTCACCATCTCAAGATAGATACCATCCTTCAAATAAACAGAGTGAAAAAAGGCATGTATTGTTAACTAATGCTGGTAATATTGGTAATTTAAATTATCACTTTGTTCATGAAATTTTACTGATATATCTGAGATTCTCAATATGGTGTATGCTACTTATATCAACGTGACTAGTATATAACGCTAGTCAAGGATAGAATGTCTGGCAGCATAAGGTTAAGAAGATCGAAAAAAAGAAAACGGGAACAGAGAATGATTGGTGTAGAAACAAAGGAACAACGAAGTCTGAGACGATTGACTAATATTTTACAAATGAAGTATTTACTCTATGGTTCTCAGATGTTCTGTTTTTTTTGTGTTCAGGTACATTCGATGGTTCCCACTTTCGTTCTCGCTCACTACACCATTAGTATATTTCGTTATTTTATATAGCTCTTAAGAATAATGAATAATAAGTGTCTAGAAACCAAATTTTAACTGAATAACCCTTTAGATTTAAATAACTTTGTTATTAGTATGCGCTTAAATTCAATTCTGACAATAAGCTTTACATGAATCTAATATGAATAAAGTTTATTTACTAAATAAATAACATAATATAACTGTAATATCTCAAAGAGCAGAAAAATGAGATTTCCTGACGTTTCGTAACTGAATGTAAGCCACTTCCTCAGAGAACAATTAACTAAATCAAAATTAATCCAAATTACTTAGATCAATATACCCAATACTCATTGTATTAGAACTTATCAAATCAAACCTTTCTGATGATACTCATTTACTGAATGTTTATAAATTCACTTATGTAGTAGATATAAATCCCTAAATCTCTAAATCAATTATTTAACAGTATCTCAACCTGAACATTATGTACCCCGAATTATATACTGTATTAGCTTGTAAATACATACTGTTAAATGATCACTCTAATTGTTTTCATTATATAAAATAAATTATTTCCATAGTTATCATCACGGTTTTTTTTTTATATAAAAAAAATACACATTATACATTAGTTTTGTTTTATTTTTATTTTATTTTAGATTCTTAAATACAAGTATTTAAATATCAACAAAATATTGATCCATTTAACTATTCTTATTCAATCCATAGACAATTCGAAATGATTTTATTTAATAATGATATTGAAAAATCAATTCAAAAACTAATCACGAAAAAAAAACAAAACAACACTACCAACAAACAAACCAACACTTTTCAACAAATAATTTAATCAATAAATAAATCAAAACAAATTTTTTTTCTACTAAGAAAAATTTTAAAAAAATAAATAAAATTTTCAATAAAATATCAAAAAAAAATATTTTTTTTGAATTAATTTCATTATTTTATATTTTATTCGTCAATTATATCACTTAGACAATTTTCGTTGTTGTTGTTGTTGTTGTTGTTGTTAAAAAGAATGTTGACAATTAATTTTGTAAAACAACAATTCATAATTATTTATTTATATAATCAATCATGGAAAAGTGTTCTATATATTAATGGAAATAAATTACACATGTTCATTATAACCTTATTAATTGGATGTTTTATTGATTTTGGTAAGTAAATTATTATTATTATTGTTTCAGTGATACTATTTATCCATTAAATTGTCATTGATACCAGAGTGATTTAGTTATTTTCATGACTTATTAAAGTATTATTTTAAATGATATAAAATAAGTTGATTTGTCTAATAAGATTATAAACAGTTTATAACTGTATTATTTGGTTACTCCAAAGAAGTGGCTTATATTAAGTTACGAAACGTCAAAAATACATTTCACTTCTTCACTTTGAATCATCACCCTTAGTTGTTCTAAGTTTGAGTCTTTAATATTCATTTAATCAGAATTGGACGGTGGCTACTAATAGTGGAATCCAAGACCTGCATTTAATCCTACCTGCACCCGTGTTAATGTCCAAGCAGGAGCTCAAAACACGGTACCTCTGCTACAAACGGCTGTTATGTTTTCTCCATAGCTACCGAGTTAAAATAGCCCCTGAATTATACAACGTGTTGAACGCTGTTGACTTAGTAGGGTTGTCGAAATGATTTACACAAGATGCTTATATGACAAAGGAAACTGATCAATTGTGGTCCATAACATCAGCGGAAAGATTTAAACAATCAGTTCAAATAAATTTATTATGCATTTGTTGCTATTAACTATATTTTTTTTAGTTATCCAACATTTTCTTGTATATATTCTTGTTTTAATATTCTAAATGATTACTGTTATGATTATAGGATTATGCCTATCATCATCATCAGTAATAATGCTGACTTCTTAGCTATTGTTGAACTGATTTTTCTTTATAGATTGAAACACTTATGATTATTAGAATTCGATATTGTCGGTAAACATAAACAGGAAAACGAAAAATTAAAACAAAATGCCTTGATACAGATGTGTAACCAGTTGTCTTATATTCATTCTTATTCTTACACAAATACATTATATCAGTGTAATGATTAAAATAAAATATGAAATGTCAAAGATTGTTTTGTACATAATGGAGAAAAAAAACAATGTTATGCTCTTATAAGTCTTATAAGTGTTAATTTATAAACACACATCGGAGTGATTAAAACGGATGGGAATGGATAAATGTTTATTTTCAACTGTTTAGACTGAATCTTTTATCTTGTGTCCTAATCTCCGGATATATTTGATCATCTTTATGATTGATTGAAAATAAAGTTTGACTAAAAGTCTATATGCGTAAGTGCAGTGTTTTAATGATTATTATTAAACTGAATTGAGTAGTTAAGTTAACGGGATTAAAAAAAATCAACGAACTGTTTTGTTTTAGTTCTGTCTACCAATCCAAATAAGATCAAACGTATGATCTTATATTCATTAAATGAAATCTAACACTTCAATTTTCAGCTAAATTGATCAAAGTCAACTAAACCATCCAATTTCATGGGCGAATAACTCCATTACGTTAGAATTGATAGGTTTAACCTTAATTCCATCTAGGATAAAATGCTTTAGCTTAGTATCTGTCATAATGAAATAAGAAAAGTGTCACTTATAAATCGTTTGCTACACTTGAAAACGGTGTATAACACTTGATAATAAAGTGAATATAATATCAACTGGCTGAACGTTTAATTGTTTAACTCATTTCGCCTAACTGATACGTTATAATAACATGAAACTGGTTACTACTACGCTATTAGGTAGTATATCATAGTAATCGCTTATTCAAATGATTCATCTATTTCACACGTTACTATATAACTATCAATAAAATAATATATCTATAACTTTACTATCTAAGTTAGATTATATATTTCCAATACATTTAGAATATAACAATGATGAATTATGTATCAAAACTAACTATACCTTAGAATTAAATGTTTTTAAAATAGTTTACTGTTAGAAGCTGTATGTAGAAATGAGTCAATTAATGTTATGTAATAAATATTTTGATACACATTTACTTATTAATTCTCTATACAGTAAATAATGGTATTTTCTATTTAATCTTTTGATCATTATAACCGCTTGATAAATCATTCGCATTTCCTATATTAATACGACATGATGATTTACTTACGACTTAATTGAGTTTTTAAATATGATAATTATTTATCGTATTACACTGTTATATTCACAATATATTGCTGCCTCTTTGCCTGCTTAAAAAAAGCTTTTTCCTACAGCACAACAAATAGCAGAATAGTCATTACTGTATTGTGTCTGATGAGAAAAACATCGTTCTATGGTTTTTTCATATACTGTATGGAATACAGAACAAAAAGGTCTAATATACTTCCTGATAAAATTTGTAGGTTACAGTAAGATCAACAGTAGTCTGTTCAGTATTAATTATTACTTTCCAGGGTACGTGATTTGCCATTGTTAGTAATTGGAACTGCATTTTTGATTGGTCTTTGTCGGAAATATTTTTAGAAAGGTTGAAAAACCAGTTGACTAGAATTCGTCACTATACATCAACTTAATTGATTAAGAGAAGGCGTTTGACAGTGTGGAAAGGAGGAATATGGAAACTTTTTAGACACTGTGCTGTGCCTGAAAAGATCGTCAACATCATACGGTATTTATACGACTGACTACACTGCAAAGTCATGCATGGAGGACAGCCGACAGAAGCATTCCGATCGAGGATCGGAGTCAGACAAGACTGCTTACTCAGCCGCCTCCTGACGCCTGACGAGAAGCACGGAATACAATGGACAGCTCGGAATCAATTAAAAGATTTGTACTTCGCAGATGACCTGGTCATTCTACCCCATACACGTCAACAAATACAGATCAAGACAAACAATGTAGCAGCAGCCTCAGCACCCGTAGGCCTTATCTTACACAAGGAAAAAAGCATGATCCTCAAATACAGCGCGGATAAAACCAACCCAAACACACTTGATTGAGAAACTCCGGAAGAAGGGTAATCTTTCACGTATCTGCGTAGCATCATCGATGAAAGTGTGGGATCTGATGCAGACGTAAAGTTAAGGATTAGTGAATAAAGGGCAGCATTCCTATATTTGAAGAACATATCGAACTCAAAACTACAGTCAGTCAAAACAAAAATCAGAATCTTTAATATGAACATCAAGACAGTTCTACTGTATGGAGCTGAAACTTGCAGAACTACAACAACCATCATCAAAAAGGCACATGTGTTTACAAACAATTGTCTACGCAAGATACTCAACATCCATTGACCAGATACCATCAGCAACAGCCTACTGTGTGAGAGAACAAACCAGCTTCCAGCTGAAGAGGAAATTAGGAAAAGACGATGGAAATGGATGGGACATACATTACGCGAATCATCAAACAGCATAAAGAGACAAGCGCTAACTTGGAATCCTGAAGGGAAGCGGACAAGAGGAAGGCCAAAGAACACATTACGTCGGGAAATAGAAGCAGATATGAAAAGGATGAATAAAAACTGGAAAGAGGTGGAAAGGATTGCCCAGAACAGGGTTGGATGGAGAATGCTGGTGAGCGGTTGAAAATAGCGGTAAAATCTAGAACATGCATTTTGTCACATAAGTGACTCGTCAATCTAATCTACACGCGCCTTGACGTTAATGTTCACCGTGAACATGTCGGTAGCCATTAAAAGGATAGTGGATAATGCTATGTATTTTGAAATTAAGGTAACTAGCTTGGTCCGAGTAACAGCGTTAGTGTAAGCATTTGAATTCATCAAAATCTAAATGATTATTATTAAACAGAATGACACTTGTGTTCCTAATTTTTATGGCATAATTTATCCAGTTAGTTTGCTCAGTGACTCAATAAATTTGTTAGTGTACTAGGTTATAGAGTTACTGTATGGTACATCTGTACGGGGCCTGTAAACAATTGGATATTAGAAATCTGGTAAAAAATAGAGCTAGTAGCCCTGTAGCGCCAATTATGTTTTATAACAGTCTTGTTCAGTCTGAATAGTATCTTTTGAATTCAACGGGAACTGTTAACCGAATGACGTCGGTAAAAACATGAAAACGTTAAATGAGGATTTACTTAACACCCAGACGAAGTCAAAATAATATCTAAATATGGACATTCTGATATGATTTAGACTGATTAACAGTCAGATTTATGTTCATTAAACTCAGTAGTACTTGATATTCTTTGGTCAATAACTTACTGAATATACATAGATATACAATATCATAAAATTAATCATCCATGGCCAACAAATATAATTAATATGATTAATCCTTCATAGAATTTAATGAAATCCCATAAACAACTATAAAGGAAAAGCAGTATCGCATGTTGATCGCGCTCAAAACATTTAACTTTTTCTCACCACATCGAGTTTACCGTTTGATATTGGATTAATACTACCTTCCTATTCGTTTGTTCAGTAGAACTGGTTGAAATTACTCCAAGTCCATTGGTATAGTGAACGAGAAAAATTACTTAAAGTTGGTTCAAGCAAGTTTTCTTATCAGCCTAATTCAATTATTCAATATCAGATCTATCTTTGTAGCAAAAACTCACACTTCATACTAGAGATTCAGATCATATAAAGCTGAATATGAAACTACGGATACACAAAACTAAATATTTGTAAATGGGCATATTTTATAAGCTATAACAGCTCTTTATACCACGAATTTTATTGAATGTTTTCGTACAGATATTGTTATTCGAAATTCTTATAGTTTTACGCTTCATTTAATGAACAGACTATATGATCGATTATACATTTTAAGTCGTTTTGAATAATATTAAAATAGAATTTAATGTGTTATCCTATTGTCATTATGTTTTCATGGGACTAGTAAGTAATGCAAATAGGTAGTAAGATCGTAGTAATCGATGTTTTCCATGCCACTTGTCTAAGTGTCTTGACGCACTTAACATACTCAGATTCTCATAACTACCCAAATTAAAAACATTGTTGATACTAGTATGTTATTATGTTGAAGACAGTTCAGTAGAACTTCAGCGAATATTACAAACATTATCACTAATTTTACTCAAAGTTTAAGGTTTGGAGAGATAAAGGTGTTATATATCACTAGCACACCATCAGCATAATCACAATCATTCAC